TCATGGAAGAAAGATGAGCAATCTCCTCCTATGCAATTTACAGCTCTGAACACCTGCTGGAGGGTCAGCTATAAATCAATTCCGACTGGATGGCATATAACCTGTAGGGATGTTCAACTGTATTCTCCTGAGAATACATCTACCTGTTTTAGACACAAGCCACTGGCCTGTCGGTTATCAGCTGAACATTCAAACCACTGAAAACCCTATCTATGGCTTAATGGCTTGAACTTTTGATTATGACTTTCAAGCCTAGAAATAAACTCATCCATCGGGTACAACTTTCAGCCAAATAAGACAAGGCTGTAAGGTAAACAGTTACACCAAAGAGGTACTTAGTTCTAAAACAATCAACCACATAAAAAGACATCATTTGCCCAGAGCTCAAAGATAGAAAGAGAAAAAAACAGAAGGAAGACAAGAAATCAGAATCCTAGGGAGTAAGTGGGGAGAGTACTATCACAATGTAGGGCTTGTAATCAATGCTATAAAATAAAACACATATGAATTCTTGAATGAAAAAACAATCTATTCTGTAAAAACTTTCACTCAAATCACAATAAATTAAAAAAAAATAGAAACCACCTGTGGCTCACAAATGTTCACAACACATTTCAACGATTTAGATCCTCCCAGAAGAGCCAAGGGTGAGCATTAACATTACTGGTAAGTGTATTCATTTTCTTCTGGACACAAGAACCTACTATTTGGTCCTAAAAGCCTTCTGAGGTCCCAACTCTTCTCACTACTTCTTAGTTGTTAGAATTGACAGAAAACCTCATAAGTAGTTCCCTATTTCACCTCTGCCTTGCATGTGGACTTCTGAGCTGTAAAACAACTCAGTGGTAGATGGAATTTGGTCCAGGACTTACGAACAATAAATGGCATAGTTGAGCCTCTACATCTTGTGGTTCCTAACCTTTATACTATAATAGACAAAGTGCTAGTCAATAAGCCTTATATTTTAAGAACTACCTTCCCTCTGTAACTTGATTTGTGCCACTGTTAGAACTTCTACTTGGAATATTATTGCTTTTAATTTTTTACTCATGTACTTTTAACTTGTTAGTTAAATTTGTGTCTTCTAGGCTGTAACACTTCCATGATACATCTTCAAGGATATGAACATGTACAGCTAAGCACAACTGATAACAGTGCATCTAAATTCCAAAACCAATCTCCACAATAGTCTACCTGTTTCCAACTGCCAAAGGGGCCATTTAGAGTAGTGAGAGAAGATCTTCACCCTGAAACCCACAGCGTCCCTTTTCAGCAGGAAGTAGCTAAGAGAATATGCCATCCCCTTTTCCTTATGAATCAGGGTGAAGTCTCTCTCAGGGAGGAGTGATAGGGAATGGCAAAGGAGACACTGACAAAGGTGATTAATCAGAACTGGTTTTGACAAGCACTGTGGCAATGGGATAATTAAAACAGACTTTCAAGTGGGAAAAATAGAGGAGCAAACTGGGGTGGGGGGTAGAGAAAATAGTGCAACAATGAATGAATGAAAATCCAAAATCTCTGAAATGTTCATTAAAATTAACAAAAACATAAAAAAAATTAAAAAACGTTCACAACAAACCAATCTAGCTGGGCAACCCACCCTAGTCAAGGGGGCTTGATGAGGGTGAAGGGTGGTGAGGAGACTAACCTCCTAAACTAATTAGACATTGTTCTATTTACTAGAATTACAATAGCACATTTTCATTAAAGTGTGACTTGTCCACTCAGGTACTGAAGATTTCAGAGTCTCTCACATTTGCAAATGTACAGGAATTTCCATGAACTTTAAAGTGATTCTTATGTGCTGTGCGTACCTTTTATTCTCTCAGCTCCCCCTTCTGGAGAATGTCAGATTCAGCATCACAGCATCTGCGTGTGAAGAGTAATCACCGCATTTGTACCATGTGGAGAATTCTTTCTGTTCTAAGCAGCTCTCCAGCAGCCTCCAGGGGCAGAGGACAGAACAGCACAGAACTGTGTAGCCGCCCTAAATTTCTTATCACTGTAAATTTCATAATCAACACTTTTGCGTAATGGTCACTTGTTTCAACCATGCTCCCCAAGGAGACAGATTACAAAAAAAAAAAAAAAGACTAAACATTACGACACACCAGTCCCCACAACAGAGTTGATGTGTGCGGATCTTCACCCTCAGCTAAGTATCACTATGAATTACCAGCAGTCAAAACACTCCACATCTGTGATATCTGTTGCCCTACCAAGGGACTACCCAGGCCCTTAGATCCCTGGGAAGGCAAACAACCCAATTTTCTAAGTGCAAGTTCCTTAGTGGACTCCACAGTACACTAACAAACGCATGTTAGCATTTACGTTTCCTCAGAGGTTAGAGCAGTAATAAATGTGTCTCTACCGTATATAATGTTACATCCCCAAGTGAGTCAGAGGGTGCATTCCATAACCAAGCATACTGAGATCTCCACATATTGAGAAACTGAGTGAGGTTCACACTAGAAATAGCTTAAAATCCATTTTCAGTTTGAGTTTTGCCAACAAATCAAGTTAGAAACTGTTGTGTTCTGGGGGTCTGTTTCACAGATATTAGATTGAACATCTGTATTTGTGAGTAAAAGGTTTGAGTCAAATTGAGGCAGGTGACAACCAACACTTCTGCTCTGTCCTTGAGAAGTAGAAGCCATGCAACTATTCAGAGAAGGGACATTTGTCAACTGCCTGAAACCCATTGTCTTCAGGCAAAAGCATCATTTTCACCATCAAAGTCTTCACTAAGCTCTTCATCATCATTATTGTCATCTTTTGGTCATTCCTTTATCAGTACTGTCATTACCATGTATCAAGTAGTATCTTATTTAAACATGACATGAACCCCCTGATTTACAAATTAATGTCATTTATAAATAGGGAAATTAATATTTCAAGAAAATAAGACATTTCCCCAAGATTATAAAGCTAGTAACTTGCAGAATATGGTCTCAGACTCACATCCCTCAGAAGAACTCACTCTCCTAAAGATACTTCACCTGGACTTTCTACTGCTCGGTTTCCAGGAGCTGAATGTCTCTACCTCCCTCTATCTCTGGCTCTTCCTCAAGGGCCCTCTGGAGAACTAGCTTGAGGGACCTCCGAGACCGAAGTTTCTGTCTACCGGAGCCAACAAAGAAGTAAATAACAGGATTAGCGCTGCTGTTCACACATGACAGGAGAATACATGCTCTCTTAACATAAGGAGTCATCTTTTCCTTACTGATCGCTTCCAAACGTAACAAGCCGTCACAGATGCCCAAAGGCTGCCCGCAGAGCAGGAAAACCAGGACTACAAACAGGATGATCACGTAGAGCCTGGGGGGCTGGGCGTGCAAGGAAACACACTGGACCCTGACCAGCAGAGTTAGGCTGGACCCACAGAGAACGAAAAGCAGGAAGGCCAGCCACACCATGATGATCACATCCAGTGGCCTACACACTTTAGAACTGTCTCCTCTAGTGTGTAAACCACAGCATAGCCCTTCAGTGACAGTGAGCAGGAAGTTCAGGGCCCAGAGCAGGGCACATACAGCTGCAGATGTGCGTCTCGGGCGGCAGCAGCGGTACCAGACAGGGTAGAGGGTGGAGAGGCAGCGCTCGGTGCTGATGGCACTGAGAAAGCTCATGCCGGTGATGTAAGGAAAGAATTTCCCAAGATCCATGAACTTGAACAAAGACTCATCATGAGGAATGGTACAAACACGTAGAAGTACTGAATTCAGCACCATACAGAGGAGGAGGAGGGCATCTGCTGCGGCCAGGTTGAGGATGTAGACGGAGAAGGCGGTGCTCGGCAGGCGGAACCTCAGGAGCCACAGCACGATGGTGTTCTCCCCCAGCCCAACGAGGGCGATTGCCCCAATCAGCACGTCCAGGATCCAGAGGCCAGTCCCCTGAGGAGTCTCTAGGCACTGCGCAGTCGAATGTACGTGTTCAGGTGCCACGTCCGGAAGGGTTGTGTTTATGCTCAGCAATTCTCTGATGTCCCTGTGACCACAAATAATAGCTGAGCCTTTACTCTGTAATCACTAGAGTAAGTATGACCCGTGATTGTTCCCATTTCACAGATGTGGACGTTGTGATGGAAGGAAGCAATACAGAAATGTATTGACAACTAATCAGAACCAACTTGGAGCTGATACTCCAATGGTCTCTGAAGCTATAAACAGCACGAGAAAGCGAGCTCTGGAGGCCAAGGGTAAGGAGTTGAGTTGCCAACCTGAAGGCACCCAATTTGAATCCAATTGCTCTGTGGGGAAATATCTTTCCATGTGATTTATAGTCTCAGGAAACCCTCTGGAGTGTCAGCTATCAGTTGGTTCCAACACCAGAGCATATAACAGCAAATGACACAGGGAAGAAATTGTCCAACTTCCTCCCACAGAGCCGCTGATGGATTTGAACCACCAAAGAGGCTCACCTTTGGAATAGCAGTGCAGCTCTCTAAGCACTAAGCCAATGACATCATTCAGACCTCCCACAATGAGGCAGCCAGCACCCTAAGCTGTCAACTCAACAGCTCAACTCATTGTCTTGAGTTGGTGCTTACTCTTAGCTGAACCTGCAGCAAGTTTTCCAAGGGAAATTTGTAAATCCTGTGGAGGAGTTTGCCCATCTTTCTCCTCTGAAGCTCTTGGTGGACTCATACTGGCCATGTTTGGGTTAGCTGCACAAGTCTCTACTGACTACTTCATGAAAACTGTCAAGAGGAAATTTTGTGTCTCCTTCCTTTTCCTGGAAGGGCACCCACTCACTTATGTCCATTAAGAGGTGGGGCCAGGAAGGTGCAGAGTCCTTTAAAAATCTACCACTGTCTTTGAAAATAATCTTTAGGCAAACCCTTACCTTTCCTCCATGCTTCTGGCCACAAGTGAAGAAGAAACCATGGTGAAGGGGAAGAACTCTTTTAGGGTTGTAGATTCAGAGGTTGGCTTTTTGCCCTCCTGGGAGATGCCTTGCAGGTAGCTGGAGTGGAACCTGTTGCCTGAGGAAAGCTTGTCAAGATGCTGGGCACACCCTTTGATTTCCTGCTGAACCTCAGGCCTGCATTCATTGGATACATGAAAACCCACAACTCTTTCTCAACCTTGATGATTCCATCTACCTATCATAGTCTCTGCCCATCCACAGCCATCTGATATCACTTCCTGTAAAGTCACCGTTCTGAAGCCTAACACAGTCAACTGTAAGCTTTCACAATGTGCAGTAGTTTGACTTTACCCCCAGAGACCTTAATAATGTCTTTGGCATTCAGAGTCCTTAGTGGTCTGACCCCACCTCACCACCATTTTTGGTAGGAAGAGAGATTGAGTTTTATTTGTTTATCAGGGAGAAGTATTACACATTCTTTTTTTGTGTTAGATTTTAATGAAAGTTTATAGAGAACATGGCTCTCCATTCATTTATTGTTGCACATTTTTCTCCCTGCCTACCCCTCCCCCCACCCAGTTTGCTTTTCTCTTTGAAAAAAAAATTCTTTCATTTTTATAAAATCCTCCCCCTGGTCAACTTTACTATGCAGCTTTTATTCTGGACTGCTGTCATGCAAGTAATACCTAACAGATATTCCATTTAAGCAATTCTCTCCCTCATCTGTTTCAATGCAGTATATCTTATCTATCCCCTCTTTCTTAGATTCCCCTCAACCCCGATGCCAGTCCTATTTTATAACAGTGGCACTATGCAGTATTTGTCCTTTTGTGACTGAGATATTTCACTCAGCATAATATCCTCCAGGGTCTCCCATTTTGCATAATATTTCATGAGTTCCTTGTTTTTTAATACTGCATAGTATTCCATTGTGTGAATATACCACAGCTTCTCTATCCATTCACATATTAATGGGCACTTGGATTTTTTCCATCTCTTTGCTATTTTGAACAACACAGCAATAAACAATGGGTGTGCATATATCTGTTTGAATAGCAGCTCTGGTTTCTTTAGGGTATGTATATTCTCAGTAGTGGAATTGCTGAGTCATATGGTATTTCTATTTCTAACATTTTGAGAAAACGCTGTATCACCTTCCAGTGTGGTTGCACCATTTTACATTTCCACCAACTGTGGATAAGGGTTCCAATTTCCCCCAAACCTGGCCAACATTTATTGTTTGCTGCTCTGTTGAATTTTGCTATTTTTCCTAAGGTGACATGATATCTCATACTTGTTTTGATTTGCATCTCTCTTAGAGCTAGGGATTTTGAACATTTTCACTACCTGAAAAGTGAAATTATAAAAATTAAGGCCAAAATAAATGAAATGGAAAACAGAAAAACAATTGAAACCATCAACAAAACCAGGAGTTGGTTCTTCGAAAAGGTCAATAAAGGGGCAAACCACTAGCAAAACTAACAAAGGAAAAGACAAAAATAATCTGAATAAAAGATGAAATGGGTATTGTCACAACAGAACCAACTAAAATAAAAAGGCTAACAATGGAAT